AATGGAAAAACAAGCACGACATGTACTCACCATCAAATTGGTATTAACTGATCAACACATAAGTGCACATATAAGAATAACATTTATTGGATGTTGGGCAGGGGTGAGGGGGGAGGAGGGGACTGGTATATGCATACACAAAGAGTGCAATGCGCACCATCTGAAGGATGGACGCACTTGAAACTCGGACTTGGTGGGGAATGGGGGGCAAGGGCAACATCTGTAACCTAAACATCTGTACCCCTATAATATCCTCAAATTAAAAAAATAAAATAAAAATAAAGATAAAAAATGGGATCGTAACATACATGTTATGGCTTATTACTGTTTTATTTAGTGTTTGAGTAGGTAATTACGCACACAATATAAAAATTTAAAGGTACAAAAGCACAAAGGATATGCAGTTAAAAGTGAGTCACAGCCAGGCGTGGTGGCTCGTGCCTGTAATCCTAGCACTCTGGGAGGCCGAGGCAGGAGGATTGCTTGAGCTCAGGAGTTCGAGACCAGCCTGAGCAAGAGCAAGACCCCATCTCTGCAAAAATAGAAAAAAATTAGCTGGGCATGGTAGCACGCGCCTGTGGTCCCAGCTACTGGAGAGGCTGAGGCAGGAGGATTGCTTGAGCCCAGGAGTGTGAGGTTGCTGTGAGCTAAGATCGTGCCACTGCACTCCAGCCTGAGCAACAGAGCGAGACCCTATCTCTTAAAGAAAAGAAAAAGAGGAAATGCCACGCATGTGAAGACAGACACACAGAGGAGAACACCGTGTGACGATGGAGGAAGAGATTTTGTTCCTGAAAAGCAGGGGACACCTGGGACTACCAGAAGGTGGAAGGGCAAGGAAACATCCTCTTCTGGAGGCTTCAGGGGAGGTATGGCCCTACTAACACCTTGATTTTGAACTTCTAGCCTCCAGAACTATGACAGAACAAATTTCTGTTGTTTTTAAGCCACCAAATTTGTGGTTTTTTGTTACAGCAGCCCTCAGAAACTAACACAGACCCCCAGCATGCTCATACGCTCCAGTGACACCAACCACTTCTCTGTTCCTCCACAGGCAGAGCTCCTTCCCACCCCCCAGGGCCTTCGTGTGTGCAGCTCCTTTCAGAATGTTCTACGCCCTCCTGCCCTGCCCTCATCCCTCTGATATTCCTTCTAAACTCACTCAAACGGCCACCTTCAGGGAAATGTGGACTTGGGCATGGCGGTTTCCCCTCAGAGCAGCACGCCGAGCGCATTGCTGTGGCCCTCACCACATCCGTAGCCGCTTACTTACTGAGCAGCTGTGTACTGCGCATTCCCCCTGCCCCACTGTAGGTGCCATGACAACAGGGGCCTGGCCGGCACATGCACCCGCAGTCCTTCCCCACGCCGAGCGCAGTCCCTGCGCCGTGGCAGGAAGCCAGGACACGTGAGGGTGGAATGCACGTGCACGGGGAAAAGCGCGTGAAGCGCCTGGCGGGGATGGAAGGCCCGGACGGTGGGGCCTCTGCTCCCGTGGCAGCCTGCGCTCCCTCGCCCGCTCCACAGGCCCTTTCTCTCCAGTGAGGCCAAACTCAGGAACTGGCTCCTGACCCTCCAGGCTCCCGCTGGCCTCCCTGCCTACCTGGCCCCATCGTTCCCACTCCTCTCAGCCAAGCCGCATCGCAGTCTCTCAGGAATGACCTGGCCCCGGTGCCCTCTGCACCTGCCAGGCCGGTACCAGAGCAGGTTGGAACTCAGGGAAATGAGCGCAGAGCAGCTGGCTGGGCAGAGGAGAGGTAGAGAGGGCAGAGGGGAGTGGAAGGAGGTCCCAAGACTGAGGCAACGTTGGGATTTTCTCTCTTTACAGCATGCCTTAAACATCAAACAAATGATACGTGTTTAACACAGGGAAAAGAAAGCCTAGAAAACATAAGGAGCTGTCTGAGGGACGGACATACTTGAAGCTCTGACTCGGGTGGGGCAAAGGCAATATATGTAACCTAAACATTTGTCATTTGTACCCCTGTAATATGCTGAAATAAAAAAAAAAAAGAAAGAAAGAAAACAGAATGAGCAAAAAGGGAAAAATAGAAGAAAAATCACCCACATTCCTATGGTGCAGAGTAATCATCATGAGCATTTTGTCATATGTCCTTCCAGAGCTTTATGTGAGCCAATCGGAGGGGAGAGAAAGTGTAGGGAACTCCCTCCGTTCTTAGGAAATGATTTTCAGAAAGCCAGAGGATTTCCAGGAAGCCTCATTGCTCCTGTGAGGCCAGGGGCACCTGTGAACATGTGTGTCTTCCCGTGCCTGGTCGTGATGTGGGGACGGTCCAGGCAAGGATGCTCTGAGCTGGGCAGGAACTGCAGGCGCCACCCTACCCCACTCCCCAGGCCTGCCCCCATCTTCCAATCCATGCATCAGCCTCCGGGAGCCGTGGCAGACACGCCCCAGCCCAGGGAAACTGTAAGCATGAAGCTTGGTCCTGCCACCTTCCACTCCCTCCCATTAAATCAAGGCTTCCTTCCAAACTGGCTTAAGTGGCCACGTTCAGGGAAATGCGGATGTGGGTATTCCATTTCCCCTCAGAGCAGCAAGCCGAGCACATTGTTTGTGGCCCTCACCACATCCGTAGCCGCTTACTAACTGCAAGCTGGGCTTTGGAGCCACCCACCGGGCTTCCCTGCTCCCTCCCTCACTTACTCACTGAGCCTCAGGTCATCTGTCTGTAAAGCCAGGATAAAATTACACCTCCCTGGGAGGGTGGCTGGGAGGACTAAGCGAAATGATGTGTGTGACGCTTGGCATAGTGTCTGGAACAAGGTAAGCACTTCATTATTATCATCCAAACAACCGCCTTATTTTTTAGAGGCAGGGTCTCGTGATGTTGCCCAGGCTGATCTCCAACTCCTGGCCGCAAGCCATCTTCCCGAGCACCTGGGACTGCAGGTGCAAGCCACCAAGCCCGGCACAACTGCCTTCTTGACAGGAACCGGTGGGCGCTCTCTATGAAGCGCAGGCGTGGCCATTTCCTGTGAAGAGCCAGGCCGTTGTTACAGGAAATAACTCTGCTCATTTTCCCCGCCTCCCTCCTGATGTCACAGTCTTCAGAAAAAGAGGATCTGCATCTGGAAATCGAAATAAAAATAATTAGACAGGGAAGCCGCGTGTGGTGTGTGTGTTGCCTCTGCGTGTGGAGTCCTGTCCAGAGTTGGGTAGCGTGTGTCTGGTCGTGGGGGCGTGAGGGGGACCTGGTGTTCAGGGTGTGACTGTGGTGAGCGTGAGTGTTTGGAAACATCCTCGCTTTTGGGGTAGCACGGGGCAACGGGATGGGGGCTCTCTCAGCCTTACCCCCAACCCCACGATGGGGGAAACAGGAAATACCCTCCTTCCCGGTGCACCTAAAGTTGTGGTTTGGAGAGATGGAGGGCAGGGCTGGAGTGTTGTGGAGAAAGCAGTTGTTTTTAACTTTGCATTTTCATTTTCATTTTCTGCACTCAGAGAGGCTGCCCTTGGTCGCTGCTGGCCGGTGCGCTGGGCAGGGCCTTCTGTCGCCGTCATCTTCCAGGAGCAGCCTGTGTCCAGGAGGCAGAAGGTAGGATCAGGAACAGCCGGGGTCAGGGAGCTGCCCTGCCCCCACTCCCTGAGCTCCAGTTTTGTGCTTTGCTGACTAATGTCCTGCCTGGGGCAGATTCTGGGGACTGGGGAGCCCAGGTCCCCAAGGGTCCCTGGTTGGGTAGGGCTGCACAGGACCCTTTCAAGTCTGGCTCAGGGATAGTCACTTCTTTCTTTCTTCACCACACCTGTGGCCTCACTGGGGTTTGGTGGGGCATGCGTGTGCAGGCCCTGCTCTGTTTTCAACAAAACTCCTGAACAGGAGCTTTGGGATGATGTATTCTCAGCCCATCTCCTAGAGCAACCTCTGGGAATGGCAGGGCCCCAGGGAAAGGGAGCACTGGTGGGAGGTGCCCAGCCAGGGCCTCAGTCTCAGAAGGGCAGGAAAGCAAGGAGAGGATGGCCATGGATTTCTTGGTGCCCACAGATGCCTCACTCCAGCCTACATCCGTCTATTCCGCGGCCCAGGGGTTACAGGGCCCAGAAAACAGCCCTTGTCCTGCTGACTGCCTGCCTGGCAGTCCTTCAGATGCTAAGTCCATCAGAACACATTCTCCGGTGCCTGGTGCTCCACCTGGCCTCCCTGCAGCTGGGACTGCTCTTGAAGGCGTTCTGCATGCTGGCCGAGGAGCTGTGCCACGTCCACTCCAGGTGACTCTCTGCAGTACCAGTGGTGACTGGGCACCCAACATGTGTCTGTCCCTTGACACCTAACCCTGCCCCTCCCTGAACTTCTGTGGCTGAGCTGGGCTGGGGGCTGGGGCTTGGCTGTCATCTGCAGGTACCAAGGCAGCTACTGGAAGGCCGTGCGGGCCTGCCTGGGCTGCCCCATCCGTTGCGGGGCCCTGCTGCTGCTGTCCTGTTATTTCTACTCCTCCCTCCCGAATGAGGCTGGCCTGCCGGTCACTTGGATGCTTGCCCTCCTGGGCCTCTCAGAGGCCGTGAACATCCTCCTGGGCCTCCAGGTAAGACACAGAGGGAGCTGGAGGGGCTGGCCAAGTGGAGGCTGTGGCTAGTGTGACCTGCTTTGAGCACGCTACTGTGAGTGGTTTAAAGGTTGGAGTCCTTGGAGAATGGCCTCTAATGTCCTGGAACAGTAGGTTCAGCAGTGGCAGAGAAGGGAGCAAATTGGCAGCAGATTGGGAAACCTTCTTGGAGGAGGAGGGCTCTGGGTGTCCTTCACGGAGACCCGCAGCCCCATCCTGCTGTCCACAGAGGCTGGCTCCAGCTGAGGTCTCTGCAATCTGTGAAGAAAGGAAACTCAACGTGGCCCATGGGCTGGCATGGTCGTACTACATCGGGTACCTGCGGCTTATCCTGCCAGGTGGGCCGTCCTCTATGCTCCCATTTCCAGACCTATAAGACAGATGGTAAGACACACAGCCTCCTGTGTTTCCAGAACTTGCTATACTTGTCAAAGCATTTTCATAGCCTACCAAATCATTTGATTCCCAAAGCATCCTTGTCGGTGTGAAGGATGTTATTATTATGCCTGATTTATAGTAAGAAATATGGGGCTTAGAGCCATCAAGCGACTGACTGAGGTCATCTGTGAATTCTTTCTCTTTCCTTTTCTTTTTTTTTTTGAACGGGAGGGACAGGGTCTTTCTCTGTTGCCAGGGTGGAGTGCAGTGGTATAATCATAGCTTACTGTAGCCTCGAACTCCTGGGCTCAAGCCATTCTCTCACCTCAGCCTCCTGAGTAGCTGGGACTACAGGCACAAGCCATCATGCCTAGCTAATTTTTAAAATTTTTTTGTAGGGACAAGGGTCTCACTATGTTGCGCAGGCTGGCTTCAAACTCCTGGCCTCAAGCACTCCTCCCACCTCAGCCTCCCAAAGCTCCCAGCCATCATCCCTACCTTACAGATTTTAAAAAGTGCAGTTCTGAGAGATCAAGTAACTTGTCTGATGTCACATGACTTAGGGAGAGGTGGAGAAAGGATCTGAGTCTGGTCCAGAGCCTGGGCCTTTGACCACCGCACTGTGGAGCCCATGCGTCTCATTCCTCTGACTTGCAGGCTAAAGCTGCGGCTCCTCTTCCGCATCTCATTACTATCTCCCATTGACACAAGGGCTTCTGCTAGAAGATAGTTCTGGAGGCCTGGTTCTGTGCACCTGGGAATGCTGGGAATGTCACCCCCCAGGGCTCAGCCTATCTCTCAGACCCCTGAGAGCTGTGGTGGGAAGGGGTGGGGCTGACACAGAAATCTGGAAAAGGAGAAGTGGGTGGCAGGGTGGTGGGGTAGGAAGAGGGCCCGGGAGGGTTCCTGGATGCTCTGCCCGTCCTGGCCTGCTATTCGATGGCAGTGCACTGAACCCTCCATTCTGCTGCACCCACACACCGAGGGGCCAATGACCTGGGTCTCAGTCCTGAATCGGGTAGGAGACAGGGTTAGTGAGAATGACTTCATGGGCTTCCCTACTCCAGGGCTCCAGGCCCGGATCAGAACTTACAATCAGCTCCACAACAACATGCTACGAGGCACAGGGAGCCGGCGGCTGTACATCCTCTTCCCACTGAATTGTGGGGTGCCTGATGACCTGAGTGTGGCCGACCCCAACATTCGCTTCCTTCATATGCTGCCCCCGCATAGCACTGACCGTGCCGGCATCAAGGGTCGGATTTACACCAACAGCGTCTATGAGCTTCTGGAGAACGGGCGGCCGGTGAGTATGCAAGGAGGCAGGGGCCCCTGGGGACGGGTCAGGCCCCCCGAGGACCCTGGGCCCTGGCCAAATGCTGATGAAAATTCACTACCCTTCTCTGAACCTGTTTCCCCAGTTGGTCCCAGGGCTGGGCAAGATTCAGCTCTGAATGATAGTGATAAGTAACATATATTGAGCACTTACTGCATGCCAAATGCTATTCTGGGTGCATCATCTGACCACCTCGTTGAATCCTCACCACCACCCTGTGGGGCTGGGGCCGTTATGATCCCTCCTTTACAGAGGAGGAGACTGAGGCTCAGAAACATGGCGGAAAGGGACGATTTCAACTTGACTATGCCATACTCTCGACCACAGGGCTGCCCTGGATGAAGGCTATGAGAATATCTGGGGGGTTTCATGTGGGTGCAAGGGAACGCAGGCCAGAGGTGAACCCCAGAGACCAGTCCCCACACTTGATTTCCAGCTGGAGTAGTTGACAGCCTGGTTCAAGCCGGAGCCTTGCCCCGGGATCTTAGGATGAGGATCTGTGAAGGACAAATTTAGCCTCAAAATGAGGTGTCAGAGGCAAAGGCGGACCAGACAGCAGAGACCCCATCGGGGTGGCCACCTCCCAGACTCCATCTTTGCAGACTGAGGGAATGGGGCCTCAGCCCAGGGCACTGGGGCCAGACTCTGTCTGCCTGGCCCGTGACTTAGTCTGGTCTTCTCTCACCTTCTCCAGGCAGGCACCTGTGTCTTGGAGTATGCCACCCCCTTGCAGACCTTGTTCGCCATGTCACAGTATGGTCAAGCTGGCTTTAGCCGGGAAGATCGGCTTGAGCAGGCCAAACTCTTCTGTCGGACACTTGAGGACATCCTGGCAGATGTCCCGGAGTCTCAGAACAATTGCCGCCTCATTGTCTACCAGGGTGAGGGGTTGATAGGCTGGAGGGTGGGAGTCAGGGGTCCCAGGAGGGTCAGAAGGAGATATGGCAGCACCATGCCCTGGGCATTTAAGCTCTGCCCCTTCCTCCCCTAGAAAAGGTCCCTCTCCTACCCCCAGCCACTAGATTGCTTTCTGAGGTCTTTGGCTGTAGGCTGTGGGTGGAGCCTGAAGAAGTGGGTCTTAGGGGTCCCTGCATTTAGGGATGCCAGAGGAAGCAGAAGAGTACCAGCCCAGTGTGTACCAGACACAAGAGACCAGGGCTGCAGTCTCAGCCCTGCGACTTCCTCGCTGTGTGACCTTGGGCAGGTCTCTGCCCCACTCAGAGCATCATCTCTAAAAGCAAGAGGATGGAATTCCATTATCTCTAAAACCACTTCCAGCTTTAGGAGTCCATGAAACTCTGGCCCCAGTGGCTGGGGGGTGGGTAGGAAGAGGGGTGGGAAGGGTTAGCGGATCTTCCCAGCAAGTCCTCTGGGTGTGTTCAGAGTGGGAATGTTTCAGGTCCTCACCCCACTCTCCTCTACCTCCCTGTTCCATACCCTGCAGAGGGAAGCGGCTTCTCGCTGTCGCAGGAGATTCTCCAGCACTTGCGGCAGGAGGAAAAGGAGGAGATTGCTGTGGGCAGCTCGGGGACCTCAGTGGTGCCAACCTCCACGCTGTCCCAAGATCCTGAGCTCCTCATCAGTGGTATGGAACAGCCTCTCCCTCTCCGCACGGATATCTTCTGAGGCCCGGGTCACCTTGCCTGAGCCTCCAGTCACCTCCAAGACTCTGGACTGGGGGCTTTCTCCAGCAGCTGGACACCCGGCAGAGCCCTCTCCTCCCACTGGGGCCTTGCAGAGAAGGCCTGGACTTGGCATCTCAAGACGAGCCCTATATCCTCGGGCAAGTCGTTTCACCTCTCTGAGCCTCAGTGTCCTGGGTCTGCGAGCCAGGATTATAATCAGTGCCCTACCTCCCTCGCAGGGCTGCCGTGAGGACTGTGAGTGCATGGAAGTTTTTCATACTCTAAGCATCTGGTAACTTAGGGATGTGCCAGGTGTCTTCCACTGAGCCCTCCAGACCTACTCCCCACCCTTCTCCACCCTCCCTGCCCTGGGACGCCGACCCATCTGGATGGCATCAACAGGCTCCCTTGCCCTCCGGCCTCTGTTCACGTCCGGTGAATGGAGAGCCCCCACAGGAGAACGGGGGAAGGAGGAGGTGAGGTGGGGCAGTCATTCCCCGGGTCGCCTCCCTGCAGTATCAAGGATGCTGTGGGCTCTCCTGCCCAGCAACCCTCTCAGCAACCCTGTCTGTCTCCAGGTTTCTGGAATTGCATCCTCCCCGTGCCCTTTCAAGCCTAGTGCTGTATTGATTCCCCAGTGGGCTACTCACTGTCACTTGTGGTTTCCTTATCCCTGGCCCTTGTTCAATAGTCCCTTTTAAATACACTCCCCAGATTACCCAATTTGAGTGTGTCATTTTTTTCCTGCCAGACTCTAACTGATATAAGGGATTGATTTTTTGTCCCCAATGTCCAAATCTGCTTGCAAGTACATGTTTCCTCGTACCCTCCTCATCTTAGAACAGGGCGGGGGGTGGTGGGTGTCGTTTCAGTGGGGACAGAGTCCACCAGTCGAGCTGAAGGCATAAAGTCAGGCAGCACCCCCACCCGCCTGCCCTTTTAGTGCCCTTGTCCCAGTGGGAGGCGTGGGGAGCAGGGGCCAGTGGCTGGCCTGAGCCAGCACACAGATGCTCTGAGAGCTACGCAGCTGCATCCTGGGCACGGGGCCACTCAAAAGAGCAGGGGCCACTTGGCCAGGCGTGGTGGCTCACGCCTGTAACCCTAGCACTCTGGGAGGCCGAGGCGGGAGGATCACTTGAGGCCAGGAATTTGAGACCAGCCTGAGCAAGAGTGAGACCCTTTCTCTGCAAAAATACAAAAATTAGGCAGGCGTGGTGGAGCACACCTGCAGTCCCAGCTACTCAGGAGACTGAGGCAGGAGGATCACTTGAGCCCAGGAGTTTGAGGTTGCTGTGAGCTGTGATGATGCCACTGCACTATAGCCAGGGCAACAGAGAAAGACCCTGTCTCAAAAAAAAAACAAAAAACAAAAAAACACCATAAATGTCTGTCTTTATGTCCTTGACTGCACACGAGTGAGGTTCAGAGGTGCCAGGGAAATGGGTATCTTTCCAGAGAGCCTCCAGGAGGCCCAGCTTTGTCCTTGTGGTCCCTGGCTGCACCTCCCTGCCCCCACTACTGACTAGCCTCATGCCCCTCCCCCTGTGGGGAGTGGTCCCCGCCCCACTCCTTCCTTCCCCAGACAAGTTCCATGGAGCTCGTTTTCCTTTCCTGTTTTCCTACAGCTGGAAAGTTCTGGATGTGGGAAATGTTTTATGGTAAATTCTAGGCTTGTATCAACAGGCTCTTGCACACACAAAGCGAGAGGTAGTGAGAGGTCCCCAAACTAGCCCCATCACATCTGGGAAGGCAAGACAGAGTCAGCGGGGACCACTCAAAGGCAATCTTTGAACTATAAATTGTACCTTGGGGCTTACAAGGGCTTTGGAGGTTGGAAACAAGGCCTGGACCCTGACAGCGAAAGGGCTGCCCTCCAGTAGGTGAAGGGTAACAGATATTCCTTCCTTCCCTGAGTCCTAATGAGTCTCAGAGAAGGCAGCCCCTGGGTTCCTGACCTTGACTCTCCCTGGCTGGCCTTCAGAGAACCTGGGGGCCATGAAGGCAAGGCCTCTCCGTGGGGCCTCTGATGTTCCTGCTTGCAGGTGGAGTAGGTGGTGGAATCGCCCAAGCTGGATTCACTCCACCAAAAGGGAAGGAGATTAGAGGTGCAAGGAGGGAGCAGGGACTTGGAGAAGGAGGTTCAGGGGTCTGGTGGCTTCTGGAGAAGAGACAGGAACTGTGTAAGGGTGGCCTTGTGCACTGGGAATGCCCACAGCAGCACGCTTCTGGGCAAGGCCGTCAAGCTTCTTTTATTTCTCCTGTCCACAGTGGGGCTTTCTCTGTAAATATCCTGAGAGGGCAACTCCAGCTGAGTCCAATGAGCCCTCCGAAGCTCTGATGCCCAGGCTGCAATTTGCTTTTGCTCTAATTATTTGTCCAGTTTCTTGTTCTGAGCCATGTCAGGCTATCTTTCCAAATTCTCCCTCTTACAGGTAAGTGACTTCACTGATGCTGGGCCTGGGCCCATCTGACACAGGGCAGGAGCCAGAGACAAGAGGTCTCTGGTGGTCTTCTTTGTGCCCATCTTGGGGGCCCAGCACTTGCCAGTGGATGAGGTAGATGCTGCCCTCTGGCTTTGGGGCTGCTGGCTCTGTAGGGAGAGCGGCATGGCCCTGGTGCAGCCTTGGTCCAAAGTGGACTGCCACCATGATGCAGAGTGCCAGCAGGACAAAGACAGTGACGAGGACAGTGAGCAGGAGAAGCCCATCCCCTTGAGGGGGTTCCCAGGCCCCACCCAGCACCTCCGGGAGCTGCCTCTGGGGCTCCTGCCCTGAACAGCTGTTCACAGCTGGAGAAGGCCAGGCATGGGGCCAGCCTAAGAGGGGAGTGGCAGAGAGGGAAAGTGACATGGATGCGTACACACAGAAAAAGACCAAAACAGAGAGAGATGGACACCCAAAGGAAACTGAGGGAGAGAGAAAGACAGAGAGACAGAGTAAAGACAGGGAGAGAGAGAGGGACAGAGAGAGGCAGAGAAACACAGGGGTAGACCACGTACAGCAACCGAGAAAATGAAAAAAAAGACAAAGGAGGATACAGAGAGAAAGATCGCAAGAGGAAAAAGGAAAGAAAAAGAGACAGATAAAGACAGAAATATAGAGACAGAGATATGGAGACAGAGATGATAGGGAGACAGAGTCATTTAGGAAGGGACAGTGGGAGAGGCTTCGTTACAGTCTGGCCTACAGAGTTCGGCCTCTCAAGTCCCCTCCCACTGCCCCCCTTCCCAGGTCTCTAGCAAAATTCCTAAAAAGATACCGTGTCCTGGGTCAGGAATCTTAGCACGCGATGGGCTACTGTCCCGTGTCCTAGGCAGTGGGCAGTGGGCAGCTGCTTCCTAAAGTCCCAGAGAAAGGGAGTCATTGGCTAGCATCTTAGGCTCCCGTACTCCCGACTCGCGTGGCAGGCAGAAAGGTGGCACCCTGGGGTGGGGGAGAGGAAGAGGAGCATGAATCTCTGGGTGGGGGGGATGCCTCGTTCCATGACTGTGCCCTCCCGGCTGTCAGAGTCAGGTTCAGGGGCTTGGAGGAACGGGAGTGCCCGGTGTGGACTCCTGGCTCTGCCCAGGACGGATCGAGGGGACCCTGTGCCAACCTACTTTGTCAGGGCCCACAGGTTCTTCTACCAAAAGCTGGGGGTCATGGTCCCTGCTCCGTCTGTCTCTAGCCGGCAAGGTGCTGAGTGAAGGTGGGGGGATTGCTGTGAAGGCAGCAAACCTCAAAACTGTAAACCCCGGTGTTGGCGAGGTCATCGCAGGCTCAAGAAACTTGTTCTCCCTGGCTTCCCCTCCTCCCAGACGGACTGTCCTGGAGCCCCTCCCTTTAACCCTGTGCCCTCAGCCTGGCCCTCCCCGTGGGTAGGCAAGGACACGCAGGAGCCCAGGAAAGGCTACCAGGGACAAACCTGTTTCCTTCAGTCCCTCGGTCACACTGCCCACCATCCCATCTCCCGCACTTTCCCTTTGCTTGTGGGAAGCCCAATACCCACCCTCTCTTGCAGGTCTGAGGCTCTTTGGGGCCCCGGCCACAGAACTCCCAAAGCAGGGGTGAGGAAGCGGCGCTGGCTGCACAGAGGAGGAAAGGAAGCTTAGGCTGGGGAAAGGCCCTGCGGGGGTCAGGCTGGCCTGGCAGGAAGGGGTGAGACAGTGCACTGCTCCCCTGGGACTGGCAGCCAGCCAGGTAAAGAAGGGCTGGCTGCCCAGGCTCGGCCCCCACCCCGAGCTGCCACGTCTGTGGGGCTCCCAGGGCACACACCCGGTACACACACCCTCGCCGCTCCTTCCTGCATCGTGCTTCCTTCCGGAACATCTGGGCTACGCTGGGCCCAGCGCTTAACTCTGGTAGTACCTCAGTCTTCGCGCTTGGCACCGCCTTTCATGGCCCGTGTCCGCTCAGGAGCCTGAGTCTGTCTGCCCACCCCGCCTCCACCAGATCCCAGAAGCCAGGCCAGCCCCCCACCACCCTGCCCCCACCAGGACATGCTGACTCCCCACCCCAACCAATTTCCTGCAGTTACTGTCCTTTGATCTTTTCTTTTCAAATACAGTATCTCGAACACACTGGAAACTGTAGATTATAATATACTCTCTTTATTTATATATATATATGTAAAATAAATCTCTATGGCCCGACCACTAGCTCTGTCTTCTCTTAAGTTTGCCACATTTATTTTTAAAACGTTAAGAACTAAAATATTACACAAACAAAATAGAAGCCTCTACTCCCTGACCTCTCTCCTCCTTCTCATCCCCCAGGAGTAACCAACTCATAGAATTTGATGTTTGGCCGGGCGCGGTTCACGCCTATAATCCTAGCACTCTGGGAGGCCCAGGCGGGAGGATTGCTTGAGCTCAGGAGTTCGAGACCAGCCTGAGCAAGAGCGAGACCCTGTCTCTACTATGAATAGAAAGAAATTAGCCAAACAACTAAAAATAGAAAAAATTAGCCGGGCACGGCGGCACATGCCTGTGGTCCCAGCTACTCAGGAGGCTGAGGCAGGAGGATCGCTTGAGCCCAGGAGTGTGAGGTTGCTGTGAGCTAGGCTGACACCACAGCACTCCAG